ATGATCAATAAAATTGATGAACTTTCGAATTAGACTGGAAAAAAAGAGGGGCAGAGAAAGCTACAAACAACCTGTATGAAAGAAAAGATGTTACTATAAATCTTACAGACAGAAGTAGCTTCCACCCAGGTGCTGGGTCTTTCTGAGAAAGCGAAAGAAAGTAGTGCTTGGTGAGCCCAGACTTCTTCTCTTTAGCACTGTGCCCAGCAGTGACTATACCCAACAGCACTATGGTCTAGGTCTCCAAACTAGCCTCTGTCTACACTGTCTGCCCTCATAATGCATGACAATGAAGCTACCATTACACAGAATAAGATTAATAAGTTTGTTTGGTATAAACAAATCAGATTTGTCTGCTTGTTCGATAAGGCCAGGTTCAATGTTAGCCTTAGGAACTTCCTATGCAATGGAGGGGCTGATGGATCTGCTCAATCAGCTGGAGGCCCCTCCACCACTGCTAAACCAGCCCAGGAGAATAAGGTAGAGGTGAAGAAAGAGAATTTGGGAGTTTGATGATGACATAAGCTTGGGACATTTTGACTAAACTTTGTAATATATTAAGTAAGAAGCTGAACTTTGAGGAGAAGGGGTGATAAATAAGTGAGCACTTGACTCCCATGTGTGAAGCTCTGGATTATTCCACAGAACCATAGGGGAAAAAAATTGAATTCTGGGAAGAAAATTGATAATAAAAGTACTTTATGAATTGATTTATTACAATAAATTTGAAAATCTAGGTGAAATGCACAAATTCATGAATGATACATTTTTTCCAAAACCAAAACAAAAGATAATTCTGAACCACAAAAAAAAAATCAATAAATTTGAGACCTTCAAAATTAACTTCTGTTCTTCAAAGGACATTGTTAATAATATAAATGGGAAAGTGATAGGATATAATATAAATATAAAAAGGGTTGATATCTAGAATATATCAAGATTTCTTACAACTCCAAACTAACAAGATAATTCATTTCAAAAATGAGCAAAAATGAGCAAAATATTTTTTCAAAATATTTGGAAAGACACTTCACAAAAGAATGGTCATAAAGTACATATAAAGATGACATCAGTCAGCAGGGAAATACACATTAAAATCCTAGTAAGATATTACATACACTCTACCATGGTTAAAAATAAAAACTGACTAAACCAAATGTTCCAGAGGATATGGAACAACTGGCATTGTAATACATTACTGATGAGAATGTAAAATAAAACAACTTTGAGAAACAACATGGCAGTTTCTTATGAAGTTATACATACCACACAATTCAGTAATTCCACTCTTAAGTGTTTAAAAGGAAAATAAAAATATATGCACACACAAAAACTTAGGCACAAATATTCATGGCAACTTTATTCATAGTAGTCAGTGAACTTCCATCAATGGAAGAGATAAACTGCAGCATTGCCAAAGGATGCAAATCAATTTGTCAATTCAAGACCTAAAACAAATTACTGATAAACACAACAATCCTCAACCTTCTGTTGCGCATGTCAGACTCAAATGAGCATGTACATTATAGTTCCATTTATGCGAAACCCAAGGAAATGCAAACTAATCTGTACTGACATAAAGGAGTTCAATGGTTGCCTAAGGTCTAAAATGAGGGACACAAGAAGAACATTTGTGGTAATGGAAACAGTCTATATCAATTATTGTATTTACAGGATTATTCATGTTTGTCCCATCTACTTTGGCTATGCACTTGAAAAGGATGTATCTTGTTATAAATAAATTATGCTGCAATAAATTTATATTTTTAAGTACATTTTTAAAAATATGTCTGGGCATAGTGGTACATGCCTATAATTCCAGTGACTCAGGAGGCTAAGGCAGGAGGATCACAAGTTTGAGTCCAGCCTTAATAGCTTAGTGAGGCCCTAAGCAACTTAAAAAGACCCTGTCTCAAAATTTAAAATAATAATAATAAAGGGGGGCTGGGGGTGTACCTCAGAGGTAAAATACCCCAAAGTTCAATCCCCAGTACCCAACCTACACCCCAAAATTGTATGTAATACATAGGAAGAAAAAGTGTATTTAGTCTATCGGCATAGTTTATCTAATATACAAAAACCAGTGAAATTTATTAGCTTGGATAACATATCATAGTTTGGGAATAGTGTGCTAAAGGAAGTTTTAAGATATACATGTTTTATTTCTCTAATAAACTAACAAGTAAACCATTTTGATGAAATAAGAACTTTCTACTAAATAAAATATTGATTTTAAGGGGAAAATGCCCATCTATAAATAGCCAGCATTCTTTTGACTGGTATTTTACTCCAATTGGTGGACATCAACTAAATAATATATAACTATAATAATTTTGTTATATTATAGTTTTATCTCTATCTTGCAATATTTAGCTCTACTTGCTTCCTCTCCAACCAAAACAAAACAAACAAACAAAAAATAACTCTTCTGTATAATTTAAAACATCATCAGCATAGAATTTCCCAAGAGATATATTTTAATCGTTCATTTGGGTCTTCAACTACATACTTACAATCCAGATTTTCCATTATAACACTAAGCGGGAAATACCTGTTTATTACATAAACTAATGTTTCAATGGTAAGATAGAGATAAAACCTCAATATTTATTAAAAAACTAAACAAGAATATTTTTCCTGACCTTTCCCTTTTATGTAACTGTGTGGTTTAGGTAAAATAACTATCATTGATTATGTGCTCTCAGAATCTCTTTGCAGAGCATGTAATAGGTACTTTCTGGAAACATAACAGTACATAAAGATACATCCAATGCTATGCTTAGGATGCAAAATATACTTCCTACATGAGTCACAGGAATTAGTTTGTGACAAATATTGCTAATCTCTCCTTGCAACAATGTATTAATTGACTCAAATTAGAAAGAATTTAGGGCTGCTGATGCTTCTTATGGAAGGTATACCCTAAACAACTGATCTGCCTTAAAGAGAATTAATGTCTCTTGAACAGGCTAACTCAGCTAGAGATCTCCTGGATTAGTCTGGATTTCCAGAAAAACAGATCAATAGATGACAGATAAATAGATACAGAGATACCTAGAATTATTATAAAGAATTGTCCTAAGCATTTATGGTGGAGAAACAGTGGTATAATTTCATTCTGAGTCTGGGTACAAGTCCAAAGCAAGAGAATACTTATTTCCCAACACAGACATGCAGGCAGAGAGTGAGTTCTCCCTTATTTTGTCATTTTGTTCTGTTCACATGGATAAGATGAGGCCCACCCTGAGTGGGGAGTTCAATCTGCTTCACTTATCTACTGATTCAAAAATTAATTTCACCTGCACGTTGGTGCATACCTATAATCCCAGCAGCTCCAAATGTTGAGACAGGAGGATCCTGAGTTCAAAGCCAGCCTCACCAAAAGCAAGGCACTAAGCAACTCAGTGAGAACCTGTCTCTAAATAAAATACAAAATAAGGACTGGGGATGGGGCTTAGTTTGAGTGTCCCTGAGTTCAATCCCCAACACCAAAAAAATACAAAATAACAACAACAAATAGTTAATTTCAACCAAAAACACCTTCACAGACTCACCCAGAGTAATATTTAACCAGCTTATCTAAGCACACTGAGGCCTAGCCAAATTAAAAAAATTAAACCTTGTATCTCCTCAGTTTTCATCTCTTTAAATAAAAAATAAATAAATAAAAATTAAAGGGCTCCTCTTCTTTCCCAGGGATATTCTCTTGCTTTGGACTTCTATGACAAACAAGGAAGGTGAAAACCAAGCATAATATACAAATCATAAGATAAAAGCTGTGGAAAAAAGCAAATGCTCAAGAAAGCATAATGCTGCTGTTACTGCTTTTCCCACATGCACAATATAGTGCTGTTCCAGTGCCTTACATACACATCAGCTCCAGGCTCCTGACAGATGCCCAAAGATATATATGTATACCTGTACCTAAATATGTATACACACACACACACACACACACACACACACATACACACACACACTCTATACCTAAATCATATAT